GAAAGTGACGTGGCATGTGGCCAAGTATGGTGACCCATACTCGGAATTAGTGCTCTGTATTTATCCCATCCTAAGTGCACACACACAGCAGTGAACACACACCCGGAGCAGTGGGCAGCCAATTTTTTTGCTGCAGTTCAGTGCCTTGCTCAAGGGCACCTCAGTCGTGGTATTGAAGGTGGGAGAGAGCGCTGTACATTCACTCCCCCCACCTACAATCCCTGCCGGTACGAGACTCGAACCCGCAACCTTTGGGTTACGAGTCCGACTCTCTAACCATTAGGCCACGACTTCCCCGTGGCCTAATGATTAGAGGCCTAATGGCCCAATAATGGTTTATTTGCACAAAGGTGCAAATAACCACATGCATGTATAAATATTATATAACATTATTTGTGCTTAGTGTAAGTAGTATTTATTGCTATTTGTAAATTGCTCTGCTTTTTGCTGTCTGGTTGTCAAACCCTTGTTGAGGGTACACACAAACCATAAACATCCTTTGAGTTTGAGTTTTGACAAATTAACAGTGAATTTTCCTTTGGTAAGTCAGAACACAAGTCGTCTTTTGAGTAAACTTTGGGTTTTAAAATTAAACAAGTTCTCATGTATTTCATATTTTAGTGTTTAACAAGCTACAATTTTTCCTCACCTGATTCTTTGCTGTTTTTCAAAGTGTTGGCAGAGGTTTTGGCAGATTGCATAGAAACCAATGGGGGGGGAGGAGTCAATATGTTGCACACAAAACTTGTTGTTCTAAAACACATCTGTGTCAAAACTTTGCAGGCACACTCATGACCTTAAATGGGCAATATTCACAAAATCTCAAGTAGAAATAAATAGCTTAGCCACTGTTTCAAACTGTTTGAAAATCGAATGTGAGTCAATGGCACTTCATGTTTTAACCAACAAAGTGTAACATTCCCTTCCACTCAGACTCCTTTATATTGTATCATCTCATTCTCTCTCTCACTGTTGCAGGATATGACCTGGGTCGCTTACAGATCTCTAAAGAGAGGGTAAATGATGTCATCCTGCCTAAATGGGCCAAATCCCCCGAGGATTTCATCTACAAGCACCGCAAAGCCCTGGTGAGCCCATTTCTGATGACCTCATCACAGCTCTTCCCCACTAACCTCAATAGAGAGCCTCCAGGGAGGGATGTGTAATTGAATACGGCCCACTCTCAGTATCTGTTTCTGTTCTTCTTCTCAATTCCTTCGCCACTTCTATCCTATTAAAGCCTGAAGCAGTGAGAAATGGCTTCGTGAAAGGTTACAAAAGTAGAACAACACAAGAGTGCTTCCCAGTCTCCTCCTGGCAGATTCCTCTCATAATGACTGATGGCCTCAGGTTTGGAAGCATATCGTGTGACCGTTTTGTTGATGTAGATGATATTCGTCTGTGCTCAGGAATCCGAGTATGTGTCGGCCCACCTGCATGAATGGATCGATCTGATCTTCGGCTATAAACAGAGGGGCCCGGCTGCAGTGGAGGCCCTTAATGTCTTCTACTACTGCACATATGAAGGTAGCTAAACATACAAGTCATGATGTGGCTGATATCCTTTGCTACCATACTTGTCTTACCACACTGTCTGTGGTTGTTTTAGGGGCTGTTGATCTGGATGCCATCACAGATGAGAAAGAGAGGAAGGCTCTAGAAGGCATGATCAGTAATTTTGGACAGACACCGTGCCAGTTACTGAAGGTACGGCACTCTAATGCTTCTCCACACAGACAGACGGTGTTAGAAGAAGCTTAAATAGAGATCATAAGATGACGTAAACATGACAGAGTATTTGTTGTTTGATAAGATGGTGTGCGTGTTCATTTGCTTTTAGGAGCCCCATCCCATGCGTCTCTCTCCGGAGGAGCTGGAGAAGAGGAGAACCCGTCTAGACTCCTGTCCTCTCAACATATTCGAGCACCTCACTGAGCTCAAATCCTTCTTCATTGAGGTGACTGAGTTAGCAGTGCTTTATGTGTTTGTGTAGATGTTGTTCTGTGGACTGATGGAGTTTCATCTCTGTGTTTTAGGGCATCAGTGATAATGTGCCACTGGTTAAAGCCGTTGTCCCTAAGAACCAATCACATTCATTTATCTCACAGGGGAGTCCAGATACTCTGGTAAGTCTGGGCTTGATTAGCTACGTCTTACAGACAAATAGGACAATTACAGACAATACATCTTACAATAGGCCCTATTTTATTAATTTTTTTATTAATGTACCTGGTCCCTTATTGTGCACAATCAATCAGTGTACATTGTGATAAAATTATATAAAATAATATTTAGATAAATATAAAAAAAACATTAGATAATTTTCTTATAATTTTAAAATGAATAAATAAAATTGAGTTTTTTTATTTTATTTAGTAATCAGCCATATGATAAGTGATAGTAATACTGTCAGGGTCCTGATCTATCTTTTTTTTAATGTCCCTCTGCAAGTTGTAATAAATTATATAAATATGAAAATAAAAAATAATAATAATTATATAAATGTATATAATAATTTGACTCAAATCTTTAAATAAAGAAATAAATTTTTTTTATAAGCAGCCATGTAATAATTAGGTTCTGATCACCCTAACATAGTTTTGTTTTTTTGTTTTTTTTCTTATGACATTGGTCTTAATGTGCACAATTATTGCATTTTAATAAATAAATACATTTTTATTTATTGGATTTTTTTTTATAAGCAGCCATGTAATAATTAGGTTCTGATCACCCTAACATAGTTTTGTTTTTTTGTTTTTTTTCTTATGACATTGGTCTTAATGTGCACAATTATTGCATTTTAATAAATAAATACATTTTTATTTATTGGATTTTTTTTTATAAGCAGCCATGTAATAATTAGGTTCTGATCACCCTAACATAGTTTTGTTTTTTTGTTTTTTTTCTTATGACATTGGTCTTAATGTGCACAATTATTAAGTGCACAGTATAATGAAATATATAAATATAAAAGAATATTTATATAAATAAAATAATTTTGACTCAAATAATTTTATGATCACCCTAACAGAGTTTATATTTACAGTAATAGCATGACTTAAATTATAAATAAATGCATTACAAAGTTTTTTTTTCTTTCTTTTCTTATGACACTGGTCTTAATGTGCACAATTATTAAGTGCACAGTGTAATGAAATATATAAATATAAAATAATAATATTTATATAAATAAAATAATTTTGACTCAAATAATTTTATGATCACCCTAACAAAGAAATTTTTTTTTACAGTGATAGCATGACTTAAATTATAAATAAATGCATTACAAATACACATGCCATTCCACATTGTCTTTAATGCCCTCTGAAGTTTTGGTTATGAAATCTTTGATACCCTCATAAATAATGTGTTTTTGGGTTATCAAGGTAACGCTGAGCCAGAACTGCTTGATGGGAACTCACGGCTGGCTGCCCTACGACAAGAACATATCCAACTATTTCACCTTCATCAAAGACCCCACCGTAGCCGGTGTAAAGTGAGTCTCTCTGACGGTTAACGTTCTCACGTCCTGTTTGTACTGTAGCTGCCCTGCACTTGTGGCAATAACCAACACATCAGCAAGCACACTCTCTCTCTCTGTAGGACTCAGAGGTTTCTAGCAGGGCCGTTCTCTCCAGGGGTTGAAGTCACAGCTCGCCTGTTTGTTGTGTCTCATGACGGGAAGTTGCTCTTCAGTGGAGGCCACTGGGACAACAGCCTGAGAGTGACGTCTCTCGTAAAGGGCAAAACAGTGGGGCAGCACATCCGCCACATGGGTACTGGAAACTGCTTCTCTTGACCTTCCTCTGCTGTTTTTTCCCCCTTCATACTTTCCCTTGAATAGGCACATCCAGATTGTACTGTATGTTCTAACTTTAACCTTCTGGAAACAAATCTGCTAACTTTGGATATTTGTGTGTGTGTGCGTTTTTTTTTGTTTTTTTTTTCTGTCCCGGCAGACATCGTAACGTGCCTGGCCACAGATCACTTTGGGATTCACCTGATCTCTGGCTCTAGAGACACCACCTGTATGGTGTGGCAGGTGCTACAGCAGGTATGTTCTGTTCTCTTGGAAAAGCCACATGATCAGTCGTCTTCAAATGACTTCCTATAGAAGGTTCATTCCTAAATATGAAGTATTTTATTGTCTTAATCATGTGTTTATTGTATATAATGATACACTACTGTTCAAAAAATGATGTTAGAGATACTGTTAGAAATGTTTTTGAAAGAAGTGTCATATGCTCACTAAGGCTGCATTTATTTAATACAGTAAAAACTTTATTTAAAAAAAATTTAAAATAACTTTTTTTATTTCCGTGTCCATCATGCACCTGGCTGTGTCCTGGGAGGGACATCTAGTGGTGCACACCTGTATAGAGGGCAAAGCCACACTGAAGGTATCAAAACACACAGTTCAGTTCCCCTTCTCCACACACATTTCTGTGCCCGTGTAAACCGAGCCTCTTTGTGCTGTGTTGTGTGTGTGTTCAGGATAAGAATGCCCTGCACCTGTACTCTGTGAACGGGAAGCACCTGTGCAGCGCACCTCTGAAGGAGCAGGTGACAGACATGTGTGTTTCAGGAGAACATGTGGTCATTGGCAGCGAGCAGGGGTTCCTGTCTGTCAGAGATCTGTACAGGTAAACCTGTAAACCATAATCTGCTGCTTTTTTCATATTTTTAACACACATCGAAACAATAGTTTCAGCAGTTGAAGTGGCTCTTGAGTGTCATTATTACAATGTGTTACTGGTGAATGATGAAATGTTTGAAAGAACACGCATGCACTGAGGTAACCGAGTCATATCTAGATATTGCAGCAGTACCAACTTTTCCCAGCTGCTTTGGTTCCGGAAGAGTTTTTTTCCATGAATTACTCCTGTTGGGATTTTAAAATAGTCTTCATTTAAATGCTTTACGTCATGAACTAAACCAACCAGCTATGAGGGGAATCAATTAATCTAATTTAAAAACTACTGATTAAATATTGAAAGAATCTGATTTATTTATTGCATAATATATAGTTGTTTAAGAATGATTAGAGCATGATTTACAGTGCTTCATAGGCTTCTTTTGATTACATATATACAAACAATATATTTTATATTTATTGCAAAACATATATATACATACCTACAGTACTTCTCAAAAGTTTGGAAACAATGATTTTTTAATGTTTTTAGTCTCTTCTGCTCATCAAAGCTGCATTTATTTGATCAAAATGCAGTAAAAACAATAATATTGTGAAATATTATTACAATTTAAAATACATTTCTATTAGAATATATTTTAAAATGTAATTTATTCCAGTGATGCAAAGCTGAATTTTCAGCATCATTACTCCAGTCTTCAGTGTCACATGATCCTTCAGAAATCATTCTAATATGCTGATTTTTGTGAGTTTTTATGCAATTTGTTTGTTGTGATTCTGATAGGTGAAGGTTTCTTTGCAGAATTGGAATCTCACCAGGAATTTCACTGTTAAACACAATTATTTAAAAAATAAGTTGAAATAATGTAGGCCGATGGCCTTAACGAAAGCATGTACCATTGATTAACAACCTCACAGTTTCCAGGTGGTCTGTCTTTAATAGTTTAAGCTAGCATTTAAAAACAATCATTGAGACTTTTACTTCCAGAACCTGCCTGTTGCACTTTATTAAAGGATAGTTCAACTCTATTGTATTTACTCACCCTCAAACCTCTATGACTTTCTTTCGTCTGCTGAACACAAACGACGATACTTTGAAGAATGTTGGTAATGGGAAAAAAAATACTATGGAAGTCAAACTGTTTGGTCATTCTTCAAAATATCTTCTTGGGTCGGATTGTAAGAATGTCTGTTCCTTGAGCTTGATCCTAACGCCGCCTCTCTCTTGGTTTCCATGGCAGCCTGGCTCTGTGCGTGTCGCCGATGGCGATGCGGGTGCCCATCCGGTGCGTGTCAGTGACCAAGGAGCAGTCTCACGTTCTGGTGGGCCTCGATGACGGCAAGCTGATCGTGGTGGGCGTGGGGAAACCCGCCGAGGTAAAAAACTCCTTCAGGAACTACATCACCCAGAGGATGGAGGGCTCGCCTCTCATGCACACGCTGCGTGTGCGATCGCCCGCACGCCTGCTGCATCTCAGAGACCAGAACACGTTCAGCCCCGACATCATCTGAGAGAAATACATACAAGTCAAGTTCAGATACATAAAGTGCACACGTTTACCTAGCTATCTAAGTGGGGACTATCCAAACCCCAAACCATAACTCTTCCCCTAAAAAAAAAACACTTTTGAAGAGAAGCCCAAAGTGGTATTATCAGATTTAGCTAACTTCTGAGAACACTTTTCATCAATTTTGTCCCCAAACTATCAGTCAATCAATCAATCAGTAACATAAAAACATAAACAGTACACTCATCATGAGCATAGTAATGACATAACAATGCATTGAAACTGTTGCCAAGGATTTTTATCTTGAGCATCTGTTGAGTAATCAGTGGTGTTTGTGTGAAGTGTAAATGTTTTTAAATAAGTTTGCTGTTGGTTTCAGTTTTCTCTTAGCAGTTGGAGTTGTAACCTAACCAAACCAAACCCTCATGATACTACTAACAATGCTAGTAATAATACGATATAACGATAGAATAATAATGATAGTAATAATAGAATAAAATAAACTCGTGGTGTCACACTCATTCTAGAATAATTGTAATACTGTGAAATCATTAGAGAAGGGTTTTGATGGTTTTTCTTAATTTTTTTTGGTTAACAAAAAAAAAAACAAGTTTTCGATGTGACTGAATGCACAGGTATTCATGCCAAACACTGAAGCTATTTTTGAATATTCCAAACAGTGCAAAGCGTTCTCAAGGATTTTTTCTTAAATATCACTAGCTTGTATAGCAACATTTGGGTTTCTACATTAGATGAATTTAAATGGAAAATACAGCCTGAAAAATACTCTACATGAGAATGTGAACACGCTTCTAGCTACACAAACTCAATTTTACACATCAGTGTTTTGCAAAATGTGAAGTAACCGATGCTATTGATATTATATCAGTATTTCATTTTTAAAATATCATGGTTATTGTCAGTACCAGTATATTGCGATACATTTACTCATTATTTTTTCATTCACCACATTGCCACAAGGGGTGCTATAATGTAGCTAATTCCTTAAATTATCGCACATTGTTTGATGTGAACTCTATCGCCCCCTTGAGTTCTGAGATTAGTTTGTGTGTGTGCGCGAGAGAGAGAGAGAGAGAGAGGAGAGACAGGGTCACATCACAGTGGAGTCAGCTGTCTTAACCGTGGCTTGTGTACTGCAAACAAATATCAGCTTCATCACTGTGTCTGTCACGCACAGTTCCCCTTTCAGGCTCTGTCTTTACATTTATTTTGAAAGATGAAGCTCGCGATTATGGTAAGGGGCGTTACATTTCCGACGAGTGCTTGCAGTGTTCGGCCAATCACAATGCACTGGGTCAGCTGGCCAATCAGAGCAGACTGCGCTTGTCGGAAGGAGGGACTTTGTAGAAAACGAAGCGTTTGAGAGAGGCGGGGCATAGAGGACCTACAATAATGTACAGTATTTGAAAAATAATGTGTTTTTTGAACATTAAAGCATGTCAACATATTCTGTTACACCAAATACACCAAATAATGATCTTTAAAAAAGCATCATATGACCCCTTTAAGATGAACGTAGTCTCTGCCTCAGACGGAAGAATGGAAAACACTGACTCAGTTTGCCGATTTCAATCTGTCGCACATTTGTGCAACGGGACCACGAGCTTACAATGCATTCTTCCAAGCATCTGTGTTTTGTATGTTTGTGTAGAGTATGTTTCTGACATAAAATAATATCAGTTCAGACTTAAAGGGTTTGAATACACACAGTCAGTACATACAATTACACAGCCCTGCATCCTGATTTGCAAAAAAAGGAATATTATTATGTGACTGGATTATGCTGAGTTCAAAAATATCAATAACAACTTTCCATCATGTACAGTTCTTCCACAAAATAAGAATGCATTACCAAAAATAGCACTCAGTCAAGTGTCAAAAGTTTTCGGATTTAATGACAAAACATGTATTCAAAATGTTTCATTTAACATAATACTCCATTTAATGTCAAAGAACTTTACAAAATAAGCTTTTTTCACAAAATGTATACTTTTCTTTTGCTTTTTGGATGTAGTATAACACCCACAGATGTAGCAGAAAACATCTGGCTCATGTTTGCATTTACCTTGAAATCAGGATTAGGCATAAAATAATGTCTTCAGAATCATTCATACATGTAAAAATTGGCTGGAAATTGAACAGATAGTCATAACCTGGTTCACAGGAAGATATTATTATGTCTTTGTGGCATTTTTAAGGGATAATACAAGACCTCTTCACCTTACAAATGGTTGTCAAAATGCACATCATATTTTTTGAGAAAAGTGACGTGCTTAAAGGTGGGGTAAGCCTACAAGTTTGTTTTGCTTTTCGGCCCGAATCAGTTTTCTAAAGTGTTTTTGAAAAATCGCTTACCCCACCTTTAAGCAAACCGGGCACTATTTTTGGAATCAGCAGCCCAATTAGTGAGAAGCACGTCTTTCATTCAGCAAATATAATGCAGGGCGGTGTTATAATTTTCTTATCTCATCTTCTTTTTTGAGTTACTTCACTTGAAATGCACATTTTGATTTTGCACTAACCTCAAAATGAATACAACACAGGTGATCTCACATGCACTCATCAATCATCTTTTTTCCCCCCACTGTTCACCTCCTCTTTACTTTTATCCTTCACTTCCCTCTCCTCTCCGTTCCTCAGATGCGTTCTGGCCAGATTACGAGGAAACTCTGGGGCTCCAGTAAGCGTCTCACTCAGATCTCGTCTGGGGAAACGGAGTATCACACCCAAGAGCAACCCTGACCCCGCCCCTAAATCACAGCCCTCCTGCCTGATTGGCCCACTGCCCTGTCAATCACCCAAATCCATCGTTTCAGATGGGAGGATGGCTCTCTCCTCTTGCTGAAACAATATGAAGGACTTTTTAGCACCTGTATGCAAATCTGTGTGTGTGTTGAGCCAAACGGATGCGTGTTCCCTCGTGTAGTTGGACTGGTGCAGGCACCATCTAACTACATGTGTCTGAATTCTGTGAAAACCCTAATGTTGACCCTCCTGACTCCGCCCTCTCTGTCGTTTTCCACCACATGTGCCACGCCCATTTAGTTAATCATCATTAACACACTGTTATCAACATCATCATCAGCATCATTACAACATGTTTTTGTCATGTCTACGTTCACATGTGTGTTGAGTATGTGTCCAGTTATTTGTTTCTTTAGTGGCCTTGTCATATTTCATAGGTTGTTTTATTAGTGGACACAGGCATTATTTATTTGCACAGTCTTGCTCTTGCACAGACCTCGAAAAGGGGATGATATTGTACATCAGTATAATACGCATGACGTATTCTGTTCCAACAGACAAACATATTTTATAGCAAAACTGACATCTGTAGGGTGCGAACGCTGATTTTTATTGTGCGTAACTGTTGAATGTTGTCATTCATTACTTGAATTGTGATGCAGTTATTTCAATGAAGAATGCAAGATTTCATTTTGTCGTGGATGTCCATGCAAATAGTTTTATAACCATTCTACCGTTCTAGTTTGGTTTATAGATTTGTTGCATCTGAAACACTACAAATACAAAGGGGGAGAAGTTTCGAAGGGCTTTGTGAGACACGACAGTAAGCAATACAGTTCGTCCCTCTGAAGCATTCCACTGGCTAATCGCTGCTCCGCAGTCTTCCTAGTATCCAAACCGAGCACTACATAGAGAGGAGGTACTTGTGTACCGCGGGACAGCTAGAACCAATGCAGCATAAGTCAGGTGAGACGCTGTTTCCCCTTCTCTTTTATATTTCTAAGCCATGCAGTCTTCGTTTACTATGCAGGTAAACATCCAAGCCTTCTAGAGAATTCAGTTACTGATTGACATCTGAATTCTGCTTATGCAGTTTTTATTTCTTCACCGTAGGCTGGAGATGTATGCGTTTCCTTTACAAGAATGTACCATAGTGATCATAGTTTCCAGCAAAATTCCTTTTATAGTCACAAGTGTGTGAAAAGTACTAAATTACTAGACTTAGTATAGTGATAATAACTGGTATTGTGGTGGAAACTATAATTACCATTGTATTTTTGTAAGGGTTTAGTTTGTGTCTCATTTTCTTACACTAATGTCTTAGAGTGACAACATTCATTCCTTTACTAAAGGTTGGTTGTTTGGAAACTTATAAGCGATATGAAGACGTTAATGAAGATACTAATACCAAAATGCAGATGTCTTTATCAGGATGTTCATATAGTTTTGTGTGTTGTATGTTCTTCCATATATGTGCTTTAGTTTGCTGTGGTGCTGACGTTTAGATTTGAAGTCTGAATCGGGATGAGTTATGTTCATTTCCTATCGCAAAGTGCTCCCTGCATCTGCTGGTTGCTTTGGAAATAAGTTATACCAAGAGATCTAAATTAATGCTTTGATTTCTTTGCATTTATTCTATTTTTTTTAGACTGTCAATGTAATGTAAATCCCAGAGGTGGCTGATTTTATTCACATGTCTGTTTGTATGTATATGTGATTCTCTTCCTTTAATTAAATGAATGGAGTGCCTTTTTTATTCTGTCGTCATGCAAATTAGTCTCCATGATCTGAACTCTACAGCATGACCTTTCGTGACCCCTGTGGACAGCCACGGTTTCTGCGGGAACCAGACAAACTTCAGCAGTCCTGTGATTTACTGAGCTGCTTTTGATTTAGTCGTCACTAATGGATGTGTGTGTATATCTGTGCTTATTTATGAATCCAGTATGAAATGTACAGCATGAATTTGATTTCTGTTTATGAATTGTATTGTTTTTGCACTTTCCAGGTACGACAAATTGTAAGAGATTGTTTTAAATGTCTCCTTGATCTGTACAGAGAAACTGCTTTGTTATACGTGAAAATTTATCATTAAAGCCCTGTTGAAAAGTCACAGTGACGTGTTTATTTTAAGTTGTGTGTCAATTAAATAATTCAATAAAAATATTATTGATTGTGTAATGTTATAACATTACAATTAATCGTAGTGAATATTTACACTATCATGTATCATTTTATTTAGGAGTCAGTGTATGCTTCTGTGTGCATCATTAGATTTATTTTAATAAAAAAATATGACAAATATATTTTAGTGTGAAACGGAACCATGTCTGATACAAATCCATGATATGAAGTATTTATTTATATTTTGTAAAATTACAGACAATAGTAAAATTAATAAAGAACATTAGAACACTACAAGGGTATATGTCATCATAAAAAATTAGACTAATTATATTATAAAAGAAACTAATAGGCAAATAGTATGTTAGTATTGCTCAGTTTTGTTATTTGTGAATATATATTTCGAGCCAATGTAATAAACAAATATATTCAAATGACTCAAAAGTTGAATTATTTATTTAAATAAAACATACTTTTTCATATAGTATCTGTTTTGTAAAATGCTGCCTTCACACCGCAGCGACCCCTTTAAGAAACTCTCTGGAAGTGACTGTGTGCGGCGGCGGACTCTCGCGAGATTTGCCCGCGAGAGCAGTCGCCATTTCTCGAAAAGTAAGAAAGAGCTGAAAGTGTGGCGGACAGTTCGTTCACATGCGCACAGAAACCATCCCCGATAACTCCTAAAGTAAAGACCGCATCTAAGCTTCCCGTTACCGGCTGTCTTCCCTGGCTGGTGTACAACTAGATGTGATATTCCAGTCGGAGTTTATGAGGGCGGCGAGTGATTGAGGCCTGACAGTACAAACACACTACGTTACGTTGCAGACGGTAAACTCACTGTTGTCGGTCACTCTCACAGGGGCATAACTGCAGAACAAACAGGCCTCCTCTGAAAAATGATCATTGAAAACCTCGATGCCTTGAAGACGTGGCTCTCGAAGACTCTTGAACCCATGTAAGTGATGCTGCTGCTGAAAATGATTCAAATCTCCCTGAATGTCAGTGACTTTAGTTTTATATGACTTTATTATTGACAAATGCACTTGCTCTTTTTGTATATTGGTTTTACATTCTATTGACTATAATGCTTGCACTTGGTTATCCTAGTAATCACGAGTTACCAGTAATTGTAAGTTGTATCTATTATACAGATGATCTAAACTTGCTGTAAAGATGTTGTAGGTTGTCAAATAAGCGTCGAGAACAGATCCTTATGTCATAATTTGGGTTTAATGTAACTGAAGTGTATATGTCTGTCCTGCAGATGTGATGCTGACCCTTCTGCTCTTGCGAAATATGTGGTTGCCTTGGTGAAGAAAGATAAATCCGAGAAGGAGTTGAAAGCACTGTGCATGGACCAGTTGGATGTATTTCTTCAGAAAGGTATAATTCAACTCTATTAATGATCTGAATATATGCAGTTCTTTTGCTCAAACCAGATGAAGGTCACTAACTAGTAGGATCATATCAAGGTGGTTGTCATTAGTTTTTAGACATGATTTGCATAACAGCCGCTTCAATTCCATGTTGCTTCCAAGACAGCTTCAGAGATTCAGTTCTGACAGAGTAACACTACAAGCATATATGCACATGCATCTACATTCATTTGCTTTTGCTTGCAGAAACGCAGATATTTGTGGACAAACTTTTTGAAGCTGTGAACGCAAAGAGTTACCTACCTCAACCAGAGCTGCCGACTTCTGCAAGCAGAACTGAAACTCACCAGCGCACGGAGAAAGATGAAACAAAGAGAGAGGAGGTAACACAAAACAATCACATAAGATCAACCTTTTGAATAATCCTATACTACCGTTTAAAAATGTGGGGTCCGTATTAATAAATAAATTAATACTCGTATTCAGCAAGTGCACTTTAAATTGATCAAAAGTGACACTAAAGACATTTATAATGCTAAAATAAGAAAGTTACTGTTACTGTTCTTTTGAAATTTCTTTGCATCAAAGAAACACAAATTGTCAAGCAGCATAACTGTTTACAACATGATAATAAGACATGTTTCTTGAGCAACAGATCAGCGTATTAGAATGATTTCTGAAGGATCATGTGACACTGAAGACTGGAGTAATGATGCTGAAATTTCAGCTTTGCATCACAAGAATAAATGCAAAACAATTATTTTTAATCTTAATAATACTTTACAATATTAATATTTTTACTGTTTTTGATCAAATAAATGCAGCCTTGCTGAACAGAAGATCATTATTACAGACCCCAAACTTTTAAGCGGTAGTGTACGTTGTGAAATTTATTTTGTGCTTGATGGTATTGATTTCTGTGGTGACTTTTGCATAAGCAGCCCAGCCGAGATGAGGATCGAGAAAAGAAATTCTCAAGGAGAATAAACCACAGTCCTCCGTCTAGCTCCAGATACAGCCGAGACAGCAGGTGAGAATAACATTAAATATTGCATACGATTTAACTTTCCCAAAATGCCACATACACACATCTCTTAAGCCACCTTGTTAACTATCTTCATATTTTCTCTTCTATAATGTAGTAATCCATCTCATGAACACTTGACAATAACTGTGGAACACACACTATTTATTCACTATAATTTTCACTCATACACTATTTATCTAACACACATACTCAATTTGCACATAATATACCTGTACATACAACTGTCTATTGTTATATACCTGTACATACAATTGTCGATTTGTATATTTTTATTCCTTATTTTACTATATTTTATTTATTTTTATTTTTTATTATCTGTGTTTTTTTGTTCTGTCACTGTCATTCTGTTACAGTGGAAGCTTCTGTCACGAAAACAAATTCCTCGTATGTGTAAACATATCTGGCAATAAAGCTGATTCTGATTCTGATTCTATTCCAATTAAATTACAGGAGAGTAGACGACCACAAGAAAGATGACCGTTCCAGGAAGCGAGAGTATGACCGTAACCCTCCCAGAAGGGACTTGTACAGGGAACGTTATAACCGCAGGAGAGAACGCAGTCGCAGTCGTAGTCGCAGCTGGAGTAAGGACCGCACTCGTGACCGGGACAGAGAGCGGGACCGCAGCCGATCACGATCTCGCACACGCAGTCGCTCTAGAAGCAGAAGCAGAGGTGAGGCGTCACTTTACTTTAGTGATTAGGTTTATTCTCATATTTGAATTTTTATGCGTGTAGTTGACATGAAATAATTTTTGCTATGCTTTGTCTTACTTTTACTTTTAGCCATTTAGCAGACGCTTTTATCCAAAGATATATATATATATATATATAAATACATTCAGTATATATATATTATTTCATTTCCATTTTGTATGTTGAAGTACTGTAATAACTCAAATTAAATAAAAATAAAACTTAATAAAAACCTATATAGACATAATAAAAGACTAATAAAATGACAACATTATTACAACTGTAACTAAAACTAAAATAGATAACTAATACAAATCAAACTACATTAGTTTATCAGTAATCCTAAAAAAATAACACTGAGCCAAACACACATGCTAAAACTTACTGACACATAGTAAGAAATGGTTATAAAAAACTGAAACAGAAGTGAAACAAGTAGTAGGAAAGAGGAGAAATAAAAAGCGATACTTATCCTTTGCCGGTGTCCGTGCCCGGTGGAGTCGATGGTCTTTACACTCTTCGGTCTTCACACGACCGCTTCCGCGGTAAACTAAGCTTCTTTTTTATTCGTTTAACAAAACTCAAATTGAATTCAGCTGGACACACTTTCCTGTTTATCACAAGCAAAGCGCACGACACTGTCAAGGTACGCGATACAGTATGAGACCAAACGCGATTTCAGCACGTCTCCACAGTCTAAAACAGATTTATGTAAGTGCTTATATTTTGTAACTCATATTAATAGAGACTGCATGGAATATTTCTACCTAAAATACTTGAGCCAAAACCAGTAGTTTTAGTTCTTACGTATATAAGTAAAAAAAAAAAAGTTTGAAGAATGTAAGATTTTTAGAAGGTTTTTGAAAGAAGTCTCATATTCAACAAGGCTGCATTTATTTGATCGAAAATATATGTGACCCTGGACCACAAAACCATAAGTAGTCATAAGTAGTACGGGTATATTTGTAGCAATAGCCAACAATACATTGTATGGGTCAAAATTATCGATTTTTCTTTTATGCCAAAAATCATAAGGATGTAACACTGGGCCGAAGGCCGAATACCGAACACGGGAGTTTTTTTCCCCATGTATTTTGCCAATTTTTTTTCACCATTGCATAAATTAAATAGCCAAAATGTGCTTTTTACTGTTTTGTCTTGCTTTTCAATGAAAAAATCAATTAAAAAAACTATTTAAAAATATTTAACACTGAACATTTTTAACATTCTAGCAGACATTATACCAACAAAGCACAATTTAACTTAAAATTAATAAGTTAGTAAAATAATATTTTTTTTGGCCATCAGACCCCCTTCTTGAATCATGCATGTATTTTTTTTTACTGTACAAATAAAAGTAGCCTTGCTGAGAAGAGACTCCTTTTAAAACGGTTTAGCGCAGATTTTCCTCGCGCTTTGGACTTTGAACCCTGGTTAACAAGCAGATCCGCCATGAGTTTGTGCAGTGCTGTCAGAATACATGCAATTCGTGCGTGCTTTAGAAAACATAACGTTCTGCAGTTTATTTACTAATTGTTTAAGGCCATTTTGCGATTTCAATCATCATACAGTAACCAGCAACAATCACCCCTTCCTCTTTTCATTGAAGACATGCGATGCAGTAGTAAACAGTCTCTCGCTGTCGGTGCTTGTAATGATTTTTGCGTCTTTCTCGGACAGTTTAAATGCTTCCACACCGCTGACATGTGTGCATAAAGAGTGTGCGCCTATCACACCGTGTCTACACTGGATGCGAGCGGCGCGGCGCGACAAAATACTATAGAACTCATTATAATCAGTGATGCTGTCTACACTGGATGCGGCGCGACACGACAAATCCCCGACAGAAAACTGCTGCCGCGTTCTATTT